CCCAAGGCCCGGGGTGGGTGTGAGGTGCTCCTGGAGACCCCTTCTGGGTGCCTGAAGCGAGGTGTCGTGGCGGGGTGCGTGTGGGGACGGGTGCGAGCAGCTCTCCGGGCTGTGGGGCCGGCAGGCTCCTGGGCCACTTGGACTCCCCTCAGCCTCTTCCCCCAAGTGCCTGTGGGCCTCGGCAGTGCCTCCTCTGTGAATTGCGCTTGGTGGTTACCCCTTGAAGTAAAGCATGAGTAAAGTAAGCCTAATGTGATGCAGAAATTAAACTCTGCAATTTTTCTGGGTTTTTTTTCCGTTACTTTTATTTTTTTCAGCTGTTTTCATCTCAAATTCATCACATAGAAGTTAGGAAAGTTTGCGTCTCGTTTATGAGGCAACACCAGCATAAGTTTGAATCTGTAAGTAATGCGCGTGTTAGGCAGTTTTGCACGTGTTGTGAGGACGCAATGCGGGAGGGGGGCGAGTGCCTTAGCCGTATCACACCCGCATAAACATCTGTGCTGAAAACAGGCCGTGCTTTGCCAGGCTTGATGCATGTTAAGAGAAAAGAAATGGCAGGGTGGTTGCTTGCTTACCTTGGAGTCATGCAAGTTTTATTTGACCTTATGTTTCTGAAGTTCCTGAAATCAAGCAAGTCGTTAATACCCAAGTAACCAGTAGGGCGACAGCTGTTTGTGTAGCATATTCTCTGTGGAGGAACCGTTGTGGAATTTAGTTGGTAGGAAATAATGTAGGGTTTTGGAGTAAAAAACGAACATCGGAAGATGGTGTGAAACTCCAGAGAGTGTTTAATCATTGTATAAAGCGATGTTGAGGGGGTGGGGAGGTGTTGATTGTTTGGTTTTGCGTACGTTGGTTTTTGTGGGTGCTGGCACATGGTGGTTTGCACGGCACAGTTTTGTGTGGCATTTTGTATGGCTTTGGGGTTTTTCTGGTTTGTGTTTTTCCCCTCTGTAATCAGTTAGGCCCTTAATCTAATCTAGAAAGGGAGATGAGTTGCAGAGATTTACTCAGACTCATGTTCTTGATTTTTTTAGCATTTCTTGGTATTTCCACATTGGTACCCCAAATCATTCCTGTGCTTTAAGGCAAGGAAGAGCTTAAGTCATACCCCCAAGTCCAACCACAGCCCTTCAGAACCCAAAAATGATAGAAGTTGTCAGGCCAGTCCCAAATGTGGTGTCTATACTCCTAGCCCCTGTCCTGCCTGTTCCTGTTGAACAGCTGCTAATGTATGGCGTAGTGTTTAGCTTTAACTTGGCTTTCCAACTAGCTGAGTTTTTATGTTTGCTTTCTTCTTCATTTTGTTGAAAGTATGTGGAAGGATCATTTGAGAAATACCTTGAACGACTAGGAGATCCAAAGGTAAGACTGATCTAATACTTGTCAAGAGATTAGAATTTCAGGAGACTAGAACAGGAAAGCAATTAGGTAATGGTTTAAAATGTGGTGGTTTGGGATTTTGTTTGCTGGACCCCAGTCCTGGGGTCTCATTTGCATAGGTAATACTATGGGTTTGTACTGAATATTCACATGTATAAACAATATCAGTTCAAGCGTAGAATTTGTGCTGGTGCAAGGGAGCAATCTATGCAGACTGGACAGTAAAGCTGAGGCCTCTCATGGGCCTTAATCATAATTGCAATTCTTCTTTAAGGAGGAAAAAGTAAAGTATGTGGAGTGTACCTCGTGTCAGGTGTTTATCAGATTTTGCAATCCCTTGCTTTTTCCTTTACCCCCAGGTTTGAATACTAGAGTTCAGAGTTTTCTTTATTTAGACTTTAACTAAGAAGTATAGCGAATGCACAGTCTCTGAAACAAATGCTGTGTTTTTAATTAAAAAAAAAAAGTATCTTGAGTGATGTGTTTGAGAATTGCTGTGAGAACTGGTTCCACCTTACTCAGCTTGGTAATCATGGCCATCCTGTGTTGCAGACTTCCCCCTGGAAATCCTATTATCTCAACTATCAATGCATTGATTGTTTGTTTTTAAAAACTTGATGAGTTCAGTTAGGTATTTTAATACTACAGAGAGCTCAAATAGAGTTCTCTGTGTAGGAGACAGACCTACTATCTCCTATAATCTTGTAATTTTGCACAGGAAAGTGCTGGCCAGCTGGAAATGAGTGCTTTGTCAGAGGTGTACAAGTAAGTGTCTCTCTCTTACACTTCACTGTATTTTGAACTTGATGGTGTTTGGGTTCTGGGCCCAGAACCTTTTATTTGTTTGTTGCTGAGATACTAATGTATGAAACATGGTGAAAAATGCTACTACCCTAATGAAGTTACTTAAGCTGACATGGTAAGTGGGTGCCATCACAGCTCCTGTTCTCATGCTGTGGATTAAGGGGAGGGTCAGTTTCCAGTGATATTTGTTTGTTATCTTTCTGCTGATGTTAAACTCTGAAGTCAGGTGTTTCCTTCTAGTGGCTGAATGATGGAAAATGGGAAAAAACAGGAGCTGTGTATAGTGGAAACACTGTGTGGTAGTTACAGACATGACTAAAACTCATGTAGGTGTTCTTGAAAGTGCCAGTAGTGAGGAGTACTTGCTCTACTTGGTGCGTAAACCCTCATAGTTGTTCCAAAGGGAGCGTAAACCTGCGCAGGTGGTGCTGTCTTGGTAGAGATGCTGCTATCCTGTAACAAGCAGTCTGGTTCTCCAGTGGTAGAAGGAAGAATCCTCCCTTTGCAGGCTCTTCCTGTTCCAGTACTAAAGGAACAAACTGAAGTTTTAGGAGTTACTAGTTCACTGTACTGAGGCTTTAATGTTTTCACAGGGTGACTAAATCAGACTTAATTGTCTCAGTGTCTGAGCACCCTGCTATAAGCAAAAGTACTTGACGTCATCTGTCACTCAGTAGAATGGTCTTCCCAGATCACCACCTTTCCCCCCCCCCACCCCAGATGGGTGGTGTTTGCTCATCCAGCTATTGCTGTACAGTAGTATTCATTCATTTGGAAAAGTACTCTACTTGATTTTTATATGAACCAACAGCAGGTTCTCTAAACAGCTCCCTGCAAACTTCTTCATAAAATGGTTCTACTAGAAGTGTGCGCTTTCAAGTCTTGTTTTTCCTCTGCTTACCTAGGCGAGACTTTATTCTGTACCGGTACCCTGGAAAGCCAGCTGCTTACGCTACAGACAATGGCTTTGCAGACAAGGTGAGGAAAAGCGAGGCCACTTCCTACCTCTGAATCCTAGCTACCTCCAGTTCTGCTTAGTTGTAAAAACTTGCCACTGGAGCTCTTGTATGTGAGAGCACTGGAGTTACCTGAATAAAACCCCTAAGCTGACTTCAGGTCATGCAAAAGCACAGTATTTGCCAAGCAGTTAATTACATTACACTAGCTTTGCCTCCCATCTGAGGGATGCAGTGTGTACTGTTTTCCTGCCAGTCTTTTTTTTTGTTACTCCAGCTCGTTATTGGAAAAAAGTTTAATTTTGGCAGGAAGAGGTAACATCACAATTCCAGAATATTCTTTCATGTTTCTGAAGTCTCTTTGGGTAAAAATACTTCCCAGTGGGAATCGGACTGATATGACAGGTAGGATGAAATACCTGGGTTGAGTTGAAAAGCAGAACAATATATAGTTACCATATTGGTGAAGAGATTTTCTCCCCCACCTCCACTTATTCTCTTCCTGAAGTCAGACCAGGTGTGCAGCTTTTCTTTCTGAAAAGGTGAGGTTAATGGGAATGGATTAATCTAAAGAACTTTCAATTCTATGACATACAAATTAAGCCCAGTTAAGAATAGGAGCTAATGGAACAGCTTATCTACACCAGAATTACTACTGGAGGCAAAAAGAAGGAACTTAAAGGAGAAATACTCTGTATTACCTCCCATCTCCTCCCCCCACAC